TGTTGTCCCCTTGCATGTTGCCGCTGATTTGTCGATGCGGTGGGGGGGGGGGGGGGGGGGCGGAGGGGGGCACGGCACGTGACATTGACGTATCTGCCCTCCTCCAGCTCTCACGCGGTGACCGCCGACCTGTCTGTGGGGGACACGGCACGCGCGGCCCAGTTCTTCTTGGCTGACGGCGTGGTCGTGACGGGCGGCAGCACGGGCGAGCCGGCCAGCCCCGACCACGTGTCAGGTCAGTCCGTGGAGGCCGCCGATCCGGTCAGCAGCCCAGGCGGCCCGGTCAGTAGCCGAGTCACGCCCTGCTGGCCGCCGGCCTGATCAGCAGCATAGTCACGCCCTGCTGGCCGCCGGCCCGGTCAGTAGCCGAGTCACGCTCTGCTGGCCGCCGGCCCGGTCAGTAGCCCAGTCACGCCCTGCTGGCCGCCGGCCCGGTCAGTAGCCGAGTCACGCCCTGCTGGCCGCCGGCCCGGCCAGCAGCCTAGTCACGCCCTGCTGGCCGGCGTGCGGCCAGTAGCCGAGTCACGCCCTGCTGGCCGCCGGCCCGGCCAGCAGCCGAGTCACGCCCTGCTGGCCGCCGGCCGGCCAGCAGCCGAGTCACGCCCGCCATTGCTGGCCGGCGTGCGGGTCGTCCGAGGCACCTGGCATTGGCCGCGCCGGCGATTTCTTTTGCGATGCGAGCAAGGCGGGCAGGGTCATGAACAAGTTACACAGCTAGACGGGTAAATAATAGTGATTGAGATTGTTTACCATAGTGCATTGGTCAGGCAGCGGAGCGTTGCTGTAGCGGTGCACGCTTTCTTCGTTCGATAGGGTCCGACATTGTGCTGCTACGGTCGCAGTGGCCCTACTGTGCTGCGCTCGCGTAGAGGCACATTGTCTCGCACTTGCCCGCGCCAGCTGGGTGCCGCTGCCAGCGGCCGTGGCTGGCCGAGCTCTGGAGCCAAGTCGCGGTTAGCGCTTTCTCACCGGCGTTCCGTTGGCGTCACTGATTCGGGAAGCGACGAAAACACCGCTACCTCCCCCTCCCCCTGCCTCCTCTCCAGCCCACGGGCCCAGCGGCCGGCGGTGGAGGTGCCAGGCTGCGGCTGGCTTGGGCGACGGCTCTGGGCAGCGGCCGCGCGTGTCCGGCCTTGTCTTGTTTGTTTAAAGCGTCACCGTGCCGCTCGTCTGCGATGATTCAGATGTACGACCAGCGTCGGCGCGGCAGCCGGGCCGTTTGCAGGTCGGAGTGTTTGACCGTTCGGCGCCGTGTGCGGTGCAGCTGTCCGGTGGCCGGCTTCAGCCCTCTGACATGTCTTTGTGTCCGCTGCCAGACCAGCCGCTGTACGCCGTGCACTCTAAACGTTACACAGCTAGCCGCGTCACGGGTGGGCCGCTCCCCCCGCGCCATTTGGCTCTGTTGGGCGCGGCGTGAGCGTGGCCCCCCTCCCCGCCAGTTGACTGTTGGGTACGGTACGAGCGTGCCCCCCCCCCCCCCCTCCCCGCCAGTTGACTGTTGGGTGCGGCATGAGCGTGGCCTCACTTCCCCCCCCACCAGTTGACCCTGTTAGGTGCGGCATGAGCGTGACCCCGGACGGGGGTGATGTCTGCGCCGGCCGATCGGTCCCCAGCCGCCGCCGTCCCCGGCCGGTGGAGGTGCAGCTCGTTCCTCGCTGTTCCGGGGCGCGTGTCTGACTGGGCGCTGACCGCCGTCTGCCGCGACAGAGGTGCGCGCGGCCTGCGAGTTGCCCGTGCTGGTCGGCTCCGGTGTGACGGCGGAGAACGTGGCCTCGTTCGCCGCCGCCCACGGCCTCATCGTCGGCTCCGAGTTCAAGCACGACGCCAGGTGAGCCCCAGGCTGGGTGGGAGTGTTTGGGATGGGGGAGGGCAGGACATGACCTCTTGCTGGCGTTACTGCACTGTCTAGTGGCACATCCTGCTGATGGCCTGCGGGCGTCTGCCGCCGCGGCGTCAGAGGCGTGCCGTGCGTTGACGCTCTGCCGCCGGCAGGTGGAGTGAGCCGCTCTCCGAGAAGAGGATCCGCCGCTTCATGGAGGCCGTGCGCGCAGTTCGAGCGACCTCTTGAGCCCACCAGGTGGGTCCCTGGGCCGGCGGAGGGCAGGTGGCCGGCACGCTGCCTCAGCAGGCACGCTGTGCTGGTGCGCTTGCTACGCGTTCTCTCTCTACCTGCACGTACACGGCCGTCGTCTTTCACAGAAAGATGTATTATAAGCCAACAGCTCAGATGCGGTGCGCTAGTACCAACCTATCAAAATCGGTCGCGCTGAGGCGCTCGAGGCGCCCCCACCGGGCGGCCCCCGGCGGCGGGTACGGCACGGGTCGCGCCCGGCGGCCCCCTCAGAGCCTTGGCAGTGTTCGACATACAGGTCAACAACGCCGGACACGGTTGTAACACACCAATTGTCATTGCATAACAACTCACGATAAGCTTCGTCTACCGTCTACTTAGTCGATGATGCACGCTTAGCACACGTATTCCACACACTTTTTGTCGTTTTTCACGCGGTGTCATTTTTAGCATTTTCTCTTTTCCTGAGGACGAAGATCCTACTATGAACACACGTACCAGTGCATCTACGCTACTGACGTCGACCGTGGTGAAAGCCAGAGAGAGAAAGAGCGGCTGGGGGAAGCGGGCGTCCCGCCGGCCGAGTCGTCCGTACACTTGGCTTCTAGTCTACCTACACGTCGTCGATCAAGAGGGCCCAGCTGGATGAGTTCGCGCGGGGAGGCGGGAGGCGGGCGGGCGGGAGGATGGCCGGACCCAGCCCCCTCCCTCCCCTGCGTCATCCCTCCCCTCCCCTCCCCCGGAGGCAGTGGTGGCCGGCCCGAGTCGGGCGTTCGGTGCCGGGGCGCAGTGCTTCGGCGAGGCCGACGTGTCCGTGCCGGACGCGGGGTGAAGTAGCACGGGCGAGCAGGAAGCGAACACTTCCCAGTATTAACGTGCTGATGCCAGCGGGTCTACGCCACCAAACCCTCGGATCGGGGCTCGTCGTGTGGTTGACGTGAACAACCCAAATCGAAATATTGGGCAGGGGTAGATCTTGTAAGGCCAGTCCCATGTTCCGTAGATTAAACTGCCCCATAGGTTAATAACACATTGAACTTCTCCGTCGATGTAGCACCGATTCAGCGTACGCTAACTGCTGCAGAGACGTCGAAACCAGGTCACTAGGTGAGGTTATACTCTAGTGAGGTACAGCGGGGAACGCCAGGCTGCCAGGTGGGTTCGAACCCCTTGATTTAGCGCACACGGCCGCGGCGAGCGCCTTATCCAACCACACTTCGCCGCCCCCCCCCCCCCCCCCCAAAGAAGCCAATGCCTAAAACACGTAATGAGTTCCAGGTGCCGCTACCCAATTTCGGTGCTGTGCCAGCCCGTTCCGAAACCCGCCCCAATGTTCGAATGTGGAGGCGGAGCCGACTGCCGGGCGTCACCGGCCGTCCGCGGTGCGCCTGCGAAGGTCACTGACCTAGGTCACCGCGCCGAGCACCGGGGCAGGGTCAGCAGTGGGGCGAGGGCTGCGGCCGGCACGGGACGAGGCCCGCCGGACTGCCGGCGGCGGGGCGGGGACTCTGGCGCGACGGGCTGGCACCAGGCCTGAGTCGCGTCTGAGCCCCCAGCCCCGGCCCCGGCCCCGGCCCCGGCCCCGGCCCCGGCCCCGGCCCCGGCCCCGGCCCCCGCCCCCGCCCCCGCCCCCGCCCCCGCCCCCGCCCCAGGCGGAGCGGACGGCGGCGGGCCCGGCCGATCGCCGTCTGCCGCCCAGTGAGCTAGCTGGCCGTGCGGCCATCAGCACTTGCGGTTGTTGTTGGCGCCCGAGTGGCGGGTGCCGTAGTGGTGGCTGCGTCTCGGCCGCTGGCTGCCGGCCGCCTGCACCTGGCGCGCGCGGTTGCTGCGCTCCAGCACCGACGGGCGCAGCAGCTTCTGGGCGTTACGCGTCGCGTGCTGCTGGCGGGGGTGGCGGTCAGTGCCGAGGTCACAGGCACAGACAGTGACACAGACAGTGACACAGACACAGACAGGCGGTCAGTGCCGAGGTCACAGGCACAGACAGTGACACAGACAGTGACACAGACACAGACAGGCGGTCGGTGTCGAGGTCACAGACACAGCGGTCGTTACGGGCCTGGCTGTCGGGGCGCCATCCTCACGACTGTGCACCACATTCAGGGAGCGAGGGAGAGCGGTGCTGATGTGACTATGTTCTCTCTTGGTAGCTTTCGTGACATCTCCACCGGACAAAAGTGGGAGGGCTATTATGTGGACGGAGTAGGCGAGGGCAGGGCTGCTCACCTGCTGCGCCTGCTGCACGGCCCGCCGCTGCAGCTGCCCCGCCGGCATGGTCGGGCCCGCCGCGTGCGCCGGCCGGCGCGGCGCCGGCGCCGCCGCCGCTGCCGCCGCCGGCGGCGAGGGCGTGCGTAGCGCTGGCGCTGGCTCACGCAGTGCCGTTGCCGACGCCGGCGTCGGCCGGCAGCCGCGCACGTACACGGACATGGACGGATGTTCGATGAGAAGGTTCTCGAGGCTGGAGGCGGGCGGCAGCGGCGCCCGGCCGGTGGTGGCGAAGCAGGCCGGTGGTGTCAGCGTCCAGTTGTCGTCCACCGTCAGCTGGGAGGTGGGCGTGCTGGGGCTGGTGCTGCACGCCGGCGTGATGCGTGGCGAGGTGGCGGCGCTGGCCCCTGCAACGGCGTCCGCCCCGTGTTACGCCACCCTCTCGGGCATCAGCTCCCGACCGGGCGCCGGCCGGCGGCGGACGGTGCGGCGGCAGCGAGCCACGCGCCGCAGACGGCGCCGCGGACTCGGCCGGTGGCGACGGGGGGCGGACGCGTGGCATCGGTACCGACGGGGGGGGGGGGGCTGGGGTGTCGGCGCAGCTCAGCTGGCGGCACCGTGACCCGTTCGCGTGGCCAGCGGCGGACCTAGGACAAGCCTCATGTGCGGCGAGCCTCTCGTCGCCAGCGGCGCACCTGGGACCAGCCTCAGGTGCGGCGAGCCTCCCGCCAAGCGCGACGGACCCACCTTCGGCCACCATGACCCACTCGTCCAGTTCGGGATCTTCGAGGTGCAGCTCGCGGCATGGCGCGACCGGCTCGGCCGCTGCCGCCGCCGCCGCCGCCGGAGCCGGACTCTCGGCGCCGCCGAACAGGTAGCCGGTCAGCTGGCCCAGCATGGCTGCGAACAGATGACCGGTCAGGTGGACGGCACACGTGAACAGAGGGCAGGCCAGCGAGCGCAACAGTTTGTGGCAGACGGCGCTGGTGGGCGCATGCAGTACCGCCCTCAAGAGAGATGCACTCCAGTCGGCCGGTGGTGCGGTGTTAGTCGTGGGGTTGCAGGTGTTTTTATGTCGCGGGGGCAACGTGTTGCCAACTGCGAACTCCGGCGTACAGTTAGGTATGTATATGAGTTGCCTAGATCGGCGTAACAAATGTGGAACAGAGTCCCAACTTGTTCGAAAATGCAGCCTGGAGGCCCGGTTGTAACCGCCTCACGGCCCTCCCATTTGACGGCCTCGTCCGTTTCCTAAGGTCTGGAGAAGCACGTGCGGAGCTGGGTTGTGTCCGTGCCGCGGGACGCCGTTCCTTCCTAGACATCGGCGCGCCGGCACCGGCCGCGGGCCCGCCTCGCGGTCTCGAGCCTCCGGTCCGCCCCAAACCGGCGCCTATTGATTCCACCGCCGCCGCGGCGCCGGCCGGTTGCACCGCACCGCTCAACAGCAGGACGCACAGCGGCGGCCGCCAGCGGCCGGCGCCCGCCGCGCGCCGCCGGCTCCACGGCAGCCAGCCGGCGCCCACAAAGGGCGGCGCGAGCCGGCGGCGGCGGTCGGGCACCGGACGCCACGGCAGCCGCACACCGCCGTGTGCGGGCCGATCTGGTTGGCGGCATCGGACAGTGACATGCACGCAGGTGGTAGTAGGTGGCAGTCGGCAGGGTGGAAACGCTCAGAGCGTCGCGAGAAAGATCCGGCTCGGCTCGGCGAAAACAAAATCATTTGCGCTCACTCTGACGCGTAAAAATTGTGCCGTTCCGCCCTGACTCACGCGACGGGTTCGGCGTGGCCAGACGCATGTTTTTTATGTTGAAATGATGGGCGAAGCTGCCTTAGGCCGTAACGGAGTATATTGTGCAGTGAGAATCCCGTTGTCCGGCGTCTCCTGTGCTGAATGGACAATTTGAGCATCGGCATTTTTGTTTTGTTCTAGGAAGATATAAATTCACACGCTATTCTTGTATTCCCGTCCTTCGTTCTGAAGTGGCGTCAGTCTCTGGGCTGGCGCTGCGAAGCGCCTTGTGTGACGTCACGATGACGCCGTGACGTCACGACGGCGTCGCGCGGTGGCCAGCGGTGCGCGACGCGGCGCTGGAGCCGCAAGCGGCGGCGGCGGCGGCGTCTGTGGTGAGGGCGGACGCCGCCGCCCGTACGATGACGCTGCCGTGTGGGCGACGAACGCAAGCTCGCCGTCGACGACAGTCGCAGTCATGCAGAAGTCAGTGAGCTGGCCGAACGACTGGTTTTCGGGGATCGTGGCTGCGTGGCCGTCCGCTTCCGGATGCCGTCCCCCCCCCCCCCCCCCCGCCACCGGTTAGGCCCACAAGTCGCCGCGGACGTTTGTTAAGGCCGGAAGCGGACAGGGGTATGGGCAGACCAGGCGCCCCTGTTGCCTGCTCTGTTGCCTGCTCTGTTGCCGGGTCCACGTTTGGTGCTTTGCGTGCGTGGGCCGCGAGGGCTTTTTGAAGACGGGTGGAGCGTAAGTGTCTTATTATCGTCGTCAAATCCCTTGTGCTGCTTGTAACTTTGGGGGTGGGAGGCAGAGGAAGGCATAACCATTAACTTTCGATTGGATGATTATGAATTTAAAAAAGTGGTAGCAGTGGTAGTTTGCTACGATTTTTTGAAAGTCTTCCGCGTCTGGCAATGAGCATTTTCCATACGCCATAATGCGGTGGGCAAATGTTTGGATAGGTGTTTTGGTGACGCGCGTCACGCGTGTGACGCCCAAGTGTTGTCCTAGGCGCGCCTGTCCCGTCTGAGGGCGGGGCGTGGTTTGAGTCCCACCCAGCGGCAGCCGCGTCATGGTCTCCAGGTGAAGTCGAAAAGTATGTGTCTATCAATGTAGATATCGCTGTGTCGATATGCCTAGTCTATAGATAGCTGCTCATATATCTGTCTGATGTTCGCCAGACGTCTTAATGCTCGGAACAAGTTCTTATGCAGAATTTACCAAACTTAGAGCGAGCAAACCAAAACTTTTGACGATTTTCCTATCCCTCTAAAAAGGGCGTTATATGCTCCGGCAGTAGAATTAGTACCAGGGCGCATGACACTGAGCTTGTGACCAGATATCCCTTTTTGCCCCCGGGCTTTTTTGTTGCTGTCAGCTGACCCCCGTGCGATCGGTGTTACCAGTATGAAGAACTTTACACTCGCTGCCAGCAGCTCGCTGTCGATAGACAGCGACGTCTCACCGTATCAAGCTCGGACAGCAGCGTCACAGTGCGATGAGCTGTGCATTGCGTGATGACAGTTGGCTGCTGCCCCCTGGCAGCGCCCCGGCGTGCCGACCTAGGTCAGGGGCCGGCCGTGTACCCCCCCCCCCCCCCTCCCCTCCGTCCGTCCGGGGGCGTGTGATCGGCCCACCGTCAGTCAGACTGCGGGCGTCAGGCGGCCAGCCAGGGCCTGTCCCGGCCCGGCCCAGCGAGGCGAGGCCGCCGCGGCACCAGCTCAAGTCCCGACTGGTTTCGCAATGCGCCGCCTGCGTGGCCGTGAATCATCGGAGGCAATCAGCAGGCGGTGGAGGCGCGGCCCGCCGCGGACCGCGGGGCGACTGCGCGCGCCTGGGGGTCATTGCCCGGCCGGTGGGCGTGGTTCCGGCGCCCCGCCACCTGTTTTGGGTGTCACCCCTCCCCGCCCCCCCAGCAGTGGTGTGGGACGGGCCCGTGACCTTGACCGGGGCGAAGGGCAGGCGGACTACAGTGGCGACGGTGACGGCCGCAGAGCTGCCCCGCCAGCCAGTCAGCCCCGCTCTGGGCCGTGCCGTCGGCGGGACGCTGACCGGGTATCGGAGCGCGCCGCGGCCACCGGCCGGCTGACCTTGACTCCCGGCCTGCATGCAACGGCCGTCCTCCGCTCCGGGCCGGTATAAATATACCCGCTGGCACACACACCTGTCGGCTGGTGGGCCGGCTGCGGCGCGCTCCAAGGTCAGGCTGCGCTCCGAAACACTCGGCCGTCAGCTGTCTCCTGCGCCGTTTTTGTTTTCGGCGTATAGGCCGCGACGCTATTTGGAGCGGGTGGGTTTTTGTTAAGTTTTTTTGGCGCGTCGGCGCCTGGGAACAGAGCGTGCATCGGACTGGGTTGTGGAAGGACGGGTAGGCACAGGGATTTATCGGTTACGAAGGAAAGGCTCGGGTTTAATGGATGTCATATGGGGAATAACACCCGCTTCGCACGCGTTGCTTCGCTACAACAGGGGGAAGGGGAAGCCCCCCCCCCCCCCCCTCTGCCTCGTCCCACACGCACCGCTGGCCTGGGACACCTGCCTGTCATCGGATATTGTACGACGTTTGTTGACCAGATTTTCCCAACGCATTACTTTCCTTAAGTCCGAATCCCAGTTTCAAATACCACGTGAGCGCTTTGCGGTTCTCCGGAATATCTGCTGTTTGTTATGTGGGCGTCGCACATCTTCAACCGCGCCAGTTTAGGTTACCGCGAGCGTGAAAATCTGGTCGGAATGTCACGTCGAGATGTCCGCCTAGCATCAGCTTGCGAGAATTGTATTCAAAGCCAAGACGTTGCGATAAACGTCACCGAGAAGGTTTCCAAACAAAATCCATAATCAATGGCGCGGTTCACTTTGTGTTGCCAGCGGTCTGCGTTCTGTTCCCCACGTCATCCGCCTTTTACTATTCATTTCAGCGTTCAACCAACCATACGCGAGATACGTGCAGACCTCGAACTTGGTACCCGGATTCATGATGTAATATGACTCATATATACTAAAGCGAGGTACCACCCACGCATGTACTGGGAACAAAGAAACCGTGCTAAGCATCTTTACTTTGGACTCCGCGACATGCAGGGCAGCTATTACGTACCTGCTTGGTAGAAAGACGAACCGGTTGAATTGTGCTATCTTCGTAAGCTATATGCTGCGTTGCAAAGTGGGTGTATCACCTTGGAATTGTGTCGTTGAGTGAAAACTGGCCCCTCTGCCTCTGTTTACGTCCCCTCTGACGTCATCCCTTCTGGTACGAGGGCGTCGCTGATTGGATGTGGTTCTCGTTCGCTCCGCCCTCCTGAGGAGAGCCTGTGACGCACATCGATTTGTAACGGGCGTTTGGCATCGCTCCAAAATGCCAATAACGGCGAGTTCTCAAACTGTATCGTCATTTTTAGCGTAAGGATAATGAAACATGTGTGACAGATCAGATTTGAGGGAATTGCTGTGGAATTGGCGATGTTCAGTACATCTTGTAACATCGGTATGACTTCAAGGCTACTTGTAATCAGCTGGTCCGAAAGGGGCCTGAACTTTGTCCTCGACTCATATGCGCTTCGAGGCGAGTAAGGTGGCCAAAACGGTAGGCGTTCAAAGCTTAAAATGAATCCTCGGAAACATGTAGTTAATTACCGTTACAAATTGATATACTTTCGATTAGTTGTAATTTACGCAGTATAAGTCATGTTTCACAAGAAACTGTGACTTGTTAATAGAAGTATGTGATTTTCACAACTTTAATCAGTATGTTTAGAAATGTGACGGATAGGATAGTAGCGAAAACTAACAAGGTATGTTGTAGTCTGGAACCCAGACCGTGAGACTGAACGTTCATCGGCGTCCTCATGGTTTGTAGCGCAAGAGAATGTCTTGGCCCCAACGCTCTGTTAGCAGTTCTGCTCGGATGGCAGCCAAGTGGGGTCAAGAAAGCTCTTGTAGAGAAGGAGTTTTTTCTGATCTGTGCTAACTGGCACTGTTTTAAGGTTCGGGGAGCGTTGGCATTCGGCTGGAAAAATCTGCCTTCTGAATACAACGTCTGAATCCGCCTATTGGTACTGGCGCTTTTGGTCCGAAGGACCTGCGCCACCTTCAGGCGGAAGTATGGTCCGAATTTGCCAAAAGGTACAGGCGCCTTTAGTCCCACGGACCTTTGTTGCAATTAGGGATAGTGCCGTCCGAAAGTTGATAACTTGGCGACGCCACGGATCAATAGGGTGTAATTCGTTCCCTGTTTATATATTCGTTCAGTCCTAGCCCTTCTTTAAAACGGTAACCAGGCAATACGGTAAAACGGTAACCAAGTAATATGGGTGAAATTTGGTATGCGATGTTTGGGATCTTGTTTGTAACTGATGTGATGTTGTAACGAATCTTTGGTAGAGTACCTGTTTTTGGGCGAATCAGTTCTAGTAAATGTGGTGTTCTGTGATTGTGGATGAAATTACGACTTAAGCCCCACAGCATTGTAATATTAAGTGAGATTGCAGTCTCATGACAACATTTTTGTTCTTATCACGGGTGAGGTTCATTAGCAAAGCTTGGCTGTGAATGTCATGGGCCGGCACCAGCCATGGGCGATGTCGCATCCCATTGGAGGGGGAATGGCGAATTCCGCAAAATGTGTGTAAAATTAAGATCACGGTTCGGATGTTGGGTGGAAAGATAAGACGCACATTGCCCCCTTCCCCTCCCTTCTGCTCCTCATCTTGCCTGACTGCCGTGATTTTGACCAGTCTTTACGAGATGGCGACCGCCCAGTGCACCTAGTGCGCCGCTCAACAGCTAAGAGACTTGTATGTCAGAACAAGCTCGAAAACGCGGGACGTGAGACACGCAGTGTGCATGAGGCGTGCACCGACACACCTAGCTTCGCCTTCTCCCGTCACGATGGACGCGTCATTCGGCCGCCGCAGCGCGCCGTGGCGGGCGCGGTTTTGGCCAGTGACGGCGGTGATCTGATCCGGAGTGGCCACGGCTGACGGTGCCGACCGACCGAGCGCGCATGGAGGTGGGGATCAGGCGGCCGTCTTCCGGCGTCGCGAGACACTGAGGAGGGGGTCGCGCTGGTGGGATAGCGTGGTGTCACGTGGTGAATACTGAGACACGTGAAGTGTGGTCCTCAGACGGGGGTCGGCCCACAGCCGGGGGTGTTACGCGGTGAGTACTGAGACACGTGAAGTGTGGTCCTCAGACGGAGGCCGGTACGCAGCCGGGGTGACACGTGGTGAGTACTGAGACACGTGAAGCGTGGTCCTCAGACGGAGGCCGGTACGCAGCCGGGGTGACACGTGGTGAGTACTGAGACACGTGAAGTGTGGTCCTCAGACAGAGGCCGGTACGCAGCCGGGGGTGTTACGCGGTGAGTACTGAGACACGTGAAGTGTGGTCCTCAGACGGAGGCCGGTTCGCAGCCGGGGTGACACGTGGTGAGTACTGAGACACGTGAAGTGTGGTCCTCAGACGGAGGCCGGTACGCAGCCGGGGGTGTTACGCGGTGAGTACTGAGACACGTGAAGTGTGGTCCTCAGACGGAGGCCGGTTCGCAGCCGGGGTGACACGTGGTGAGTACTGAGACACGTGAAATGTGGTCCTCAGACGGGGGTCGGCACACAGCCGGAGTATCACGTAGTTAGTACTTAAGTTGTGGAGGTAAACGCCGCGCTGTGAAATGCCATTCTGTGTTCGAGTTTTCACAATAAACAATGGATCACAGGATCCGACATTGTCCGCAGCTGAGCAGGCTGTTGGGGCCCTACAGCCTGGTGAAGGGCCTTCACGCAGCAGAAACCCCATTCGCAGAGGGTTTCCTGTACAATCTGACGTCACTGGAGATGTGCCGTGCGATCCCGTCAGACGGACGAGGCGCCACCCTGCCTGGCCCCTTGATCCTTGGAGCCATTTGCAAATGGCAGTGTCGGTCTTCTTTACCCTTGCAAATGGCGGCGTCGCTCTTCTTTACTCTTGCAAATGGCAGCGTTGCTCTTTTTTATCCTTGTCGCTGTAGTTGCCGGATTCGTCTTAATAGCCCATGAACAATGACGAATCAACAGCCCGTGCTAGTGAATTTCTACTCGGTGCAGGATTGTCCTGAAGAGGGGCCGACTGAACAATTACAGGTTAGGAGCTGTACCCAACATCGACAGGAGAGATCAGTTGCATTCATAATATAATTCCAAATATGAGAAATTGCCGGAGCACTTCCTCATGCTGGGTTGCCACCACACAGGGCAGCAGACAAAAAAAAAAACTACTGAGATCTATTGAAATGCTGAATCATGTCACTGTTCGTACTTTTTAGGATCATACCCGTGAACAAGCGGCCATACATGAAAGGTATATTGCTTGCCGCAATGGCTTACGGTGCTGTTCGCGGGCAGTTCCCTTGGGAGCAGATATTGTTTTGGGCTCGGAGGTGTCTGCTAATTACTGGATCTGATAGAACGGTCTGTTTAGCCATGTGTAACTGGAAATTACGCGGCGGAAAATAAGTACACATTGTTTTTTTTTTCAAAAGTGAGTGACGAAGCTAATCGGACGCTTTCGAGATCGAAATAAAGCTCCGTAGTGCATGGAATACACCATGAGAAGCCCAATCGCCGCCGTTAGTGCTGGACGTCTACTGGCGCCGTAGAACTACGCTCAGCCGGATGCAGTGCCACCGCAGAGATAGTTCGTGACCGGCAGTACATGACGGGTAAAGCCCCGGCCGTGGAAAGGGCGGTACATGGCCTGGTTTTGCCCGCAGACCGGCTATGAATGACATCCAATAACGTAGTGCCGCAAGGGGGCGCTCGCTTTTTAGTAGCATCGAATGCAACTTTTGCATCGCTTTCAGAGCAACAGTTACAGTCTGTGTAGAGGGGCCTGATAATAGCGATGGGTTTTGCTTCTGTTCGTCCCAGTTTTCGTGCAGTTCGGCGTTGGTACCAAATTATGCCACTTGTGGACAAAACCATGATGTAAGGCGTTGCAGTCTCCTTCAGCCATGAGGCGTCGGCCCCTATCATCAGGTGGCGGCCAGTGGACGGGCAAAAGCGATAGCATTTCTAAAATGAGTACCTCTGAACGCTTTAGGATGGCAGTTAGTACGTTTGGAAGGTGATACCTGAGTATGTTTGACCTGGGCAATTGTTGGACTTATCATAGGAACGCGTTAGCATTCCTATGATATTAGCACAGCACCGCGAGCAGGTGCTGGAATTTGGTAGTGGAGCTAGACAAGTAAAGGTAGAGTGTCCATGTCTGTGTTACTGTTGCTGTTTATCTGTTCAAAGGACAACCTCAAAATTATATAGGTAAATTATACCCCCGATCCTAATTTGTAAACGGTACGAATTGATTTTGGAATACTTTCGGAAGCATTATTTCACTATGGCTGTTCGTGCGCACCAGGCGGCTGTCGCCCGATGTCAGCTGCGCCTCCCACTTTGATGGAAAGTGAAACCTCGGCCGTCGTTGTTCTTGCTCCTAACTTTGCGAGCACGCAGGCTCAAAACTTGTTATGCCATTTGTTCCACATGCTGATTCGGATCGGGGATGGACGTCCTTGTTTGTGTTGGCGCTTTTTCATGTCTGACTCCGTTTGGATCGGCCCTATTGGCAATTACGGAAGCGTATCTATCGCCTTTCCGGGCAAGGACTCTGTGGGTAGGACACCAGGGGCACATATGTCCCGGTCGAGGGCTAAAGTGAATGATTATTCCGTTACAGCGTGGGCTCCCTGCTTGGTGCCGTGCCGGCGGAACTGGGATTCAGTCATACCTTGGTCTCCTGCCTGACGCACGAGTCCCAGCGGGGTCCCTGCCGGGTGCCGTGCCGGCGAAGCTGGGGTTCAGTCATGCCTTGGTCTCCTGCCTGACGCCGGAGTCCCGGCGGGGTCCCTGCCGGGTGCCGTGCCGGCGAAGCTGGGGTTCAGTCATACCTTGGTTTCATCCCTGACGCCGGAGTCCCAGCATGGTCCCTGCCGGGTGCCGTGCCGGCGAAGCTGGGGTTCAGTCATACCTTGGTTTCATCCCTGACGCCGGAGTCCCAGCAGGATCCCTGCCGGGTGCCGTGCCGGCGAGGCTGGGGTTCAGTCATACCTTGGTTTCATCCCTGACGCCGGAGTCTCGGCGGGGTCCCTGCCGGGTGCCGTGCCGGCGAAGCTGGGGTTCAGTCATACGTTGGTCGCCTGCCTGACGCCGGAGTCTCAGCGGGGTCCCCGCTGGGTGCCGTGCCGGCGAAGCTGGGGTTCAGTCATACGTTGGTCGCCTGCCTGACGCCGGAGTCTCGGCGGGGTCCCTGCCGGGTGCCGTGCCGGCGAAGCTGGGG